GAGGACAGTGGTCACACCCAGCCACAGCTTTTTCCTTCCATCTCTGTGTCTGTCTCTTTCATTTTCTCAATCCCCAGCTGTCCCTACTCAGAAACCAGACCACTCTCTAGCCACGCTGGATGCAGAGAAGAGAGAAATATTTACAAAAGACGACATACAGAAAGCCAAGAGACATATGAAAACATGTTCAAAGTCACTAAACATCCGAGAGATGCAAATCAAAACAACAATGAGGTTCCATCTCACACCTGCCAGAACGGCTTTCATCAACAAATCAACAAACAAGTGCTGTAGAAGATGTGAAGAAAAAGGAACCCTCCTTCACTGCTGGTGGGAATGCAGACTGATGCAGCTACTGTGGAAAACAGTATGGCATTTCCTCAAAAAATTAAAAATGGAACTGCTATTTGACCCAGTAATGCCACTCCTAGGAATATATCCCAAGAAAACAAAAACACCAATCAGAAAGGATATATACATCCTTATGTTCATAGCAGCACAATTTATAATAGCTAATATTTTGAAACAGCCTAAATGCCCATTAGCAGATGAGTGGATTAAAAACCTGTGGTACATCTACACAATGGAATACTATGCTGCTGTATAAAGAAAGGAATTGTTACCATTTGCAACGTCATGGATGGAACTGGAGAGCATTATGCTAAGTAAAATAAGCCAGTCAGAGAAAGATAAATACCACATGATCTCACTCATTTGTGGAATATAAAGAACATTATAAACTGATGAACAAAAATAGATACAGAGGCAAAGAAGCATCGAACAGACTGTCAAACTACAGCGGGAAGGCAGGGGAGGATTGGGGGAGGTAAGAGATCAAACGAAGGACTTGTATGCATGCATATAAGCATAATCAATGGAAGCAAGACACTGGGGGAAGGGGGCAGGGCATATGCTGGGGGGTACGGGAAGCTGGGGGGAGGTCAATGGGGAAAAAAGGAGACATATGTAGTACTATTTGTAAAACTTTAAACAATAAAAAAAGTGCAATGCCCAGTAAAATAAATAAATAAATAAATAAATAAATAAATAAATAAATAAAAACAATTAAGAAAAAAGTCACAAATGCATTTTCGTGGCCTTCTGTAATTCTAAAATTATTTTGAGTGATATTTTTAAATTTTGTTTATTTTTTATTTCCTTTGTGTGGATTCAAACTGCTAAGTGAGAAGATGTCCTTAACTTTCGTATTTCTTGTTCGTAGGTCCTCAACCAATGAATTCCCTCCTTTTTTATTTATTTGGGAATGTCTATCTCACCTTTATTTTTGGAAAATAGTTTCCCTGACAAAGGATTCCTAGTTGACAGATTGTTCTTATGCAGTTTGGGAATTACACCCCATATCTTCTGGCCTCCATAGTCTCTGATGCTCAGTCAGTCACCTGCTCATCTGACTCATTTCTCTTTCTCATAACCTTCTGTTTGTCTCCATCTTTCAACATTTTCAACATAGTGGGCCTGGTTTTGGATTACTTTGTGTGCATTCTACTTAGATTGCATTCACCTTGGATGTGCATGTGGATTAATAACTTTCATTGAATACCACTCAAAATTTTCAGCTTTATTTCTTCAAATATTTTTACTGCTCATTCCTCTCTCTGCTCTCCTTCTGGTATTCCCAATACCTGAAGTGTGCTGGTTCTTTCTTCAGGCTGTCAAATCTTCCTTTCAACCCTCTAGTGAATTTTTCTATTTTACTCATTTCAATTTCAACTCCAGAATTTACATTTGTTTTATTACATAAATTTTTATCTCTTGGTTGATACTATCTATGTGATGTAATATAATCATCATACCTTCATTACTGTTTGCAAATATTATATTTTTTATAACATGCAGATATTTGTAAACCCTACATCAATCAAATAATTGGGGTCCTATCTCCAACAGCATTTGCTCACCTTGTGTCTCTGGATCCCATGTTGATTATTTGCACACTATTTCTAAGATTTTCATTAGTACTGCAATTGTTACAGTGATATGCAAACACAGTTTTTGATGTTACTATTATTATTGTTTTAGAGTTCCTCATACCATGCCGATGTAACAAGACAAATGACACCAATAAAGGTTTTGCTATATCTAACTGCTCCACTCACCATTACTGTCTCTTTTCCATATGTTTGGCCTCCCTAGTCCCTGCGACACAAAAATATTGAAATTAGGCCCATTAATAATTCCTCATTGGCCTCTAAATTTTCAAGGGAAAGGAAGAGTCTCTCACCTCTCCCTTGAACAAAAAGTTAGATATGATAAAGTTTAGTGAATAATGTATGGTAAAATCCAAGATAGGCCCAATGCTAGGCCTCTTATGGCAGTAAGTCTTGTTGTGTACACAAAGAAAAAGTTTTTGAAGGAAAGTAAAAGTGCTGGGATAGAGCGTCGGCCTGCGGACTGAAGGGTCCCAGGTTCGATTCTGGTCAAGGGCATGTACGGTGGTTGCGGGCACATCCCCAGTACAGGGTGTGCAGGAGGCAGCTGATTGATGTTTCTCTCTCATAGATGTTTCTAACTCTCTATCCCTCTCCCTTCCTCTGTAAAAAATGAATAAAATATATATTTTTTAAAAAGTGCTACTCTAGGGATCACAAGAAAGATAAGCTAGCAAAACAGACTTATTGTTGACATGGAGCAAATTTTGGTGGTTTATATATAATATCAAGCCACTCACAACATTCCCTTAAACCTAAACCTAATCCAGAGCAAACCCTAACTCTCTTCAATTCTATGAGGGCTGAATAAAAAGGTTTGAAGGTCATAGAGATTGTTTCAGGAGGTTTGAAAAATGAAGCCATCTTCATAAATGTAAAGGTGCAAGGGAAGCAGCTGGTGCTCCTGGAGAAGCCACAGCAAAGTACCTAGAACCTCTACCTCACAGGTTTTCATTGGTGTCACAGTAACCACATATTTGAAGAAGATGGCAGTAAGAACTGCATAGCTAGAGAGGAAAAGTCAGTGACTGCATCCAGAGTTTCATACAACAGACAGACCACATTTTTAGGATTTAATGCTTCTAGTGAGTTTATTTTGAAGCCAGTGCTCATTTGCCATTACAAAAATGCTTGAACCTTTCAGATCTGGGTTCAATCTCTTCTGCTTCTGTACTACAATGAGTACAACAATGCCAATATAACAACATATCTGCTTACTAGTTTTCTGAATATTTTGGCCCACTGTTAAAAGATACCTTCCAGGAAAAAAAGAATATTGTTAAAATATTGCTGCAAATTGACAAGGCACCGGGTTACCCAAATGCTCAGATGGAGATGGCCGATGAGATTAATGGTGTTTCATACCAGCCAACACTATGTCATTCTGAAGCACATGGGTGAAGAGAAGTAATGTTGAGTAATTTCAAGTCTTATTATATGAGAAGTACATTTCAAAATGCCATAGCTACCATACATAGTAATTGCTCCGATGGATCTGGGTAAAGTAAATTGTGTACATCCAGGAAATGAACCATTATGACCTATGCCATTAACAAAACTTGTGATTCACGGGAGAGGTAAAAATATCAATAGTGACAGGCATTTGAAAGAAGTTGATTCAGACCCTCCCGAATGACTTTGAAAAGTTCAAGTTTTCCATCAAGTAAATAATTGATGAGGTGGTGGAAATAGCAAGAGACCTAGAATAATAAGTAGAGCCTGTAGAAGTACAGCCTGGATTTCTACTGTGATCTCATGATAAAACTTCTATGGATGAGGAGCATCTTCTTATATATGATCAAAGAAAGTGGTTTCTTGAGATGGAATCTACTCTTAGAAAAGATGCTGGGAAGAAGGTTGAATTGCCGACAAAGTTTTAGAAGATTACCTAAATTTAACTGATAAAGAGACTTTTAGTGACTTGGCCAATTTTAAAAGAAGTTCTACTGTGGGTGTAATACTATGAAACATTAGCATTGCATCCTACAGAGAATTCATCCATGAACAGAAGAGTCAGTTGATGAGGCAAAATCTATTGTCTTATTTTAAGAAATTGCCACAGCTTACTCCAGCCTTCAGCAACCACCAGTCTTAGCCATCAGCAGCCATCAACATTGGGGTAAGACCCTCCATCAGCAACAAGATTACAATTCACTGAAGGCTCAGATGATTATTAGCAGTTTGAAGCCATAAAGTATTTTAATTAAACATATGTATTATTTTGTTTTGTAGATAAAATATAATTGCACACAGGGTAGACTACAATATAGTGTACTCATCACTATTGTACACTCTTAGAAACCCAAAATTTCATGTGACTTGTTTTTGTGCTAGTCACTGTATTGCAATGCTCTGGAACCAAACCCACAATATGTTCAAAATATGCCTATACTTCACAAAAGAAGTTAACTAAAGGAGCTTTCTTCATCAAAACTCTTCTCCATGTATAGTGAGAGGAGTTAGCTTGACATGCAGGCAGACATGGCAGGAGTTCAGTTCAAAACAAAGGCACATAGAACATAGGTAGGGGTAGACAGAGCAGTTTGAGCAAACCTAATAACAGAAAACAAACATGCAGAAATAATAGAGTGTTTTTTAACTCAGAATGGATGGCCTGTGTAACCAAGGGAGGGCCTGCAGCAGCAAGGTGTACTGACCTGTAGGTACAGGAAAAGTTCAGGTCCATTGTTGGGCAAGATCAATGAGGGAATCAATCAGGTGGTAACAGGTAGATATAGAGGAGGCTTGGCGCACATATATACCTCTAGACTTACTAGCTTCACTGGAAACCCATTATTTGGGCATCCTTCCCAGGCAGGGAGTCTGAATCTACTTGCAATAAATTTTTCAGCCTTTTGCTTAAATTGTCTGGTCTACGGTGATCATTCTTCCGCATCATAAGATATGACCCCGGAAAAAAAAAAACCCTCAGCTTGCAATTCCAATTATCCATAGCAACATATAGGTAATTTTGTTAAGTTCAACACTTAATTCAATTCAAAAGTTGGTAAATGAACTGGAAATATTTTTTTTTAAAAAAATACTTCTTACCAGGGAGCTCCATTGATTGTTTCTTAAGTTGTCCCTTTATTATGCCACGTGCAGTTGCATCTATTGAGTGTTCTGCATTAGCTCCTATGGAAACAAACAGACTTTAAAACCCACTATATCGGCATTTATGTAGGAATATATATATATATTTCCAAGAGTGAATGTGTATGCGGATTGTATTTAGCATGTTTTACTGTACAGAAAAGCATTATATTGAAATATATGAATTATAGATTCACAAAAATATAAATTGGAACAGATGGAACAAGGATATCAGCGATATTATGTTGATGTTCAGAGACTTTTACTGACTTGTCCAAAACCAAATATCCAGATAATGACAAAATTGATATAGATTTCAGAAGCTATACCACATAATTCCTTAAACAGTGTTCATTCCATACTAATTCTCTCTTATGCAAATTGAAATAATCCCAGAGAAATTATGATAATAAAATTACTTCCAGGCTGATACTAAATGCACACTTGTTCTTTAGGGATGTACCTAGTAAAGTAGAACCTCACTGTCCTTTTGTTTGGGATTCTCTGCACTTCCTGGACTTGTAACTCTATTTCTTTCACCAGGTAGGGGAAGTTTTCTGTCATTATTTCCTCAAATAAGTTTTCAATATCTTGCCCTCTCTCTTCTTCCCCCCCCCCACCCCCCCGCATAATTCAGATGTTGGTATGCTTGAAGTTGTCCCAGAGGCTCCTTACACTATCTTCATATATTTGGATTCATTATTCATTTTTCTTTTCTGGTTGGGTATTTTTTGTTTCTTCATATTTCAAATCTTTGACTTGATTCTTGGGATCCTCTTGTCTGCTATTGGATCTCTGTATATTATTCTTTATTTCAGTCAGTGTATGCTTAATTTCTAGTTGGTCCTTTTTCATATCCTTGAGGATCTCACTAGATTTCTTGAGGGTCTCACTAAATTTATCGGTGGTTTCTAGAAAATTCTTGAAAAACCTTATAACCGTGGTTTTGAACTCTATATTCAGTAGTTTGCTTTCCTCCATTTCTGTCATTTGTGATCTGTTTCTTTGTCTCTGCATTTTTTATGCTTCCCTGTGTTGATAGAGTGGCTTTCTCTGGTAGGTGTCCTATAGGGACCAGTGGCTCAGCCTCCACAATTACCTGAGGTGGACACTATTATTGCACACCTCCGTGGGCTGTGTGCACAGTCTTGTTGTAGTTAAGCCTTGATTGTTGTAGGTATCACTGGGAGGAATTGACCTCCAGGCCAATTGTCTGTGAGAATCAGCTGTCTACAGTGGGAGAACTTCTGTGCTGAAGACACCCTTCTGGGGCAAGACTTGCTTCAGTGGGGCTTTGGTGCTCACTGAGTCTGTCCTTTGAGTGTGTCCCTTATGGATCTGAGGGGTTGTAATCTGGATGGTCCCAATCTGACCACTGGTACACAGGCTCTTGGATCTCTAAGGAGGTGCTAATTTAGCCTCTTCCTGAGGCTACCCATCAGGAGTTATGGAGATCTGCAGGTTCCTCTTCCTTGTTTGGGTTTTGGAGGTGCCCAGATGAGGCCCAGCTGTGAAGCAATGGAAGCTGCTGTTGGGCCTTGGGCCTTCTTTTGGATGTTCTGGGTCTTTCTGACCCAGCTGCAGTTTGTTAGGTAATTTTAGATCTCAAAGGGCCAGCCCATTCATATGCAAAAGCCTCTGCACACAGCTTGGGTGGGGCGGGGTCTCAGGGAATCAACAGGGTAGAGCAAGCAGCTATGGCTGATCATCAGTCCTTCCCAAAGAGGTCCCGGGTCTCAGTGTCCCAGTAATCATTGCAAGCACCTCTGAGAGAAAGCCACCCTCAAGTTCCGCCTACTGTCAGACAGTCCAGTTTCTCCCCGTATGAGTCTGGGTCCCCAGAGACTCGCCCAGAACTGGAGTCAGGGCCATGGGGAGCTTGTGCCTCCCCCCCTCCCTCCCGATTGCAAAAGACACTGGCGTCCTCCGTTGCCAGCCCCTTTCCGTGTGCTGGAGCCTTCGTACCTCTGTACTTTACTTCCGCACCTCCTCTGTGAGTCTCAGTGTGCTTTTCTCTTTCCTTCTAGTTGTAGAATTTCCACTCAGCCAGCCTTCCTGTGGTTCTGGATGATGTCCGTTTTGTCTTTAGTTGTAGTTTTGAAGTGGTTGTGCGAGGCAGCAATTTCAGGTGTTTACCTATGCAGCCATCTTGGTTTCTCTCCCTATATTAGTCTTCTTATTTATGATTCTGTGTTCTCTTCATTTACTACTGCCCATTTGAGGTTACATCTGCTGCAACATCTTACTGAAATACATTATGACTCCTACACATATCCTTTGTGCTGCTACAGTGGAATGTATTCCTTTCCCACATTTTATAGGCACAATACAATTATATGCATTTTGATTATGCATTGTCTTTTGCAACAATAATGGGGACAGAACATGAATCCATGCAGTCTTTTGGAGTTAGATAATTCCTTGAACCTATGCTCCTTTTAAGGAGGGAATCAAACTACTGCCTGTAGTCAATTACTTTCAACATAAACAACTTGCCTGACTATTACTGTTACGGCAGGTCTGCTGGCAAACAAATTCCTGGTTTGTTTTGTTTTTTGAAATATGAGAATATCTTTTTGTCATCTTCACTTTGCAAGATAGTTTGGCTAGGAATAACCTTCTTGGTGACAGTGTTTTCTATTAGCCCTTTGAATATGCCATCCCACTCCCTTCTGGCCCTTACAGTTTGTGATAAGAAGGCAGCTCTTCATGTTACCAAGTTTCTCTTTTCCATGATAAGTTTTTGGCCTTTGTGGGCTTTATGATTTTCTCTGCTTTCATAATTTTTACCAAGATGGGTCTGGTTGTAGATTTCATTGTACTTACTCTACTTAGATTTCATTGTGTTTGGATGTGCAGATTGATATTTATCATTGAATATGTTTGAAAATATTCAACCATTATTTCTTCCAATGCTTTCCCTGACCCATTTTTTTCTTTTCTAATTTTACATTTTCCATTATTTTAAGTGTAGGAATTCTTTCTTCCAACAACTCCAATATATTCCTGAGCCCCTCTAGTGTAATTTACCTAATAGTTATTGGAATTTCAATGCAAAAATCATCAGTGTTTTTCTTTTCATATATCATTCTATGTCTCTACTGACATTTTTATTTGATGAGAACTTGCATCTATATTCTTTTTTCTTTTAAACATGGAGTTTTTTACTTAAAATATTTATAAATTATTGAAAAACCTACAACTGGAATAGACACAAAGTGTTTTTGTGGTCTGCTGTTCTTCTGTTTAGAGTTCACACTTGCTGTTCCTTTGAATGTCTCATACATTTTTTGGTAAAATCTGCAATATTTTAAGCAATGTATTGTGGCAAATCTGAAGGCTTATTGTCATTGTGTGTGTAGTAATTTAATGATTTATGAGGCTGGACTATCATATTTTACCGAAGTGCCCTTCCCAGCAGAGCCAAGCTTCTAGTGTTGTTCCTGTGAGGGCATGAACTTGGGCATGAGCACCTCACCTCTGCATGACTGGTGTTTTTAAAGCCTCTCTTTTACTGTCTCCTTCCCTGATTGCTCCCTTAACCTACCTATTTCCTTTCCTACCATGTCAAAGATGGAGACAAAGTGTGTTAGTCACTGATCTGCTAGAAAAAGAAGCAATAATTTATACTCTAAACTCTATTACAAAAAAAACAAAAACAAACTGAAGGTCGCACCATCACCTGAGATATTAGAAATTTGCCTGACAGTGTAATTCCATGGAGAGTATTCATAAACAATGCAATATCTATTTTCTAAATTCCTGTTCTAATACCTTTCATTAGGTAGCATCTCTGCATTTTCAAATACAAAGCAACTAACTATTTGGGTTTGAGAAAAAAAAGTGAGTAAAATGGCATTTCAAAGGCTTACATCAAGCACAGTCTAAGCTCACATGTTATCATTGGAGTTTTATGGGATCACTTTTAACAAATGAGTTCTAAATCATATATTATGTATCTAATTACTCACTGATGGTAGCTGCTAGTTTTCTACTCATTACAGAAAGAAATTATGGAGATGTTTTATTATTTCAAATAACATATAGCTACTGTGGTAATTGAAGGTGTAAACTTAAATAAATGTCTGAGAAGATAAATGAACAATAAATAGACTTGAAATATTCTTGTTCTTACCAGCTTGGTGCATTGATTGTGTCTTGACTTCCCCCTTTATTATAATTCTTCTGAAATCATCAGATAAGTATTCTGTATCAGTCTCTATAGAAATAAGCATTTTAAAAACAGTTTTGTAAGGCAAATATTAACATGTGTATTGATGTGTGTACTTGCATAAGTGTGTTTTTGTCTAGTACTCTCCTTATATAAGCCTTTTTATCACAGGAAAAGGATTAAACTGAAATACCTGTGTGTCTGAAATAAACACCTTAAAATCGTTAGAGCCATTAGCTATCACATAAGTCTCATTGTACTGAAGCTTATAAATGTTCAGTGATTTGACCAAATGACATATCCAGCTAATGACATAATTCAATCACAAACTGATGTGTCATAATTCCTTAACTGGGTCTTTTCTCATAACATACAAATTCTTTTGCAAATTCAAATCATCCTCGAGAGCTGAATTTAATATCATAACTTGTGTAAAAACAATAACAAAAACACATTTGTATTGCAAAGATAAACCTAATTGGACAGATTCAAATAGTTTTCCCCAGGTCAGGTTGCAAACAATGGTCTTCATAATCACAGAACCCTACTGTGAGGCAGAAATTCTTAGAACTGTTTCTGAATATATCCATGTCCTCATTCTCTTTCTTATTATGCAAGTGTAAAGCAGTTAGACATTAGCTAGCATTGGAAAATAATGACAGGTAATTTGTGGACAGAGGTAAAGCTTACACCCTCTCAAGTCTTACAAGCATGTATACCTTCTAGTTGGGGAGGAAAAATGGCTAATTTTCAGTAATGTGAGCATTGGTATTGTGTTCTTTTCCATTTGAGTCTTTAGGTGATTTTCACATTATGCTGGATTTGGAAACTACTCTCTAGGCCCAATGACAGAAAAACTATAACGATATTTAGTTTTAAAATTTGTATCTTGCAGAAAGCATCATGTATTGGGTAAAGTTTTCTATAAATAAATAAGTAAATAAATAAATAAATAAATAAATACATAAATATTGTTCCACATCAAATGGAACTGACATGAAAACTTGCCAGGATGTAAACACGATGGAATGGAAGCCTTGTTTTGGGGAAATTACTGAACACATGATTATCACCATGCCAGTAGAAACATACCACTACAGCAATCTAAGCAGAGGTGAATTTCAGAAAGGGCGTCAATGGCAAAGACAAAGACACACAGTATTGGACAGAACAACTTTGCCACAATAATTTATGACATTCATTAAAGTAACTTTAATTATAGCAACACATGACAGGACAACCTTAGCAGGCCTGTGTTATTTCTTGGTCTTCCTTCAACAAACACAATTAGAAGAATTAATTCATTGAAATTTAGGGAGCAAAAAAATTAGATAATCATGAAGACAATGAGATTAACCCTTAAGGGCAGATTGGCTTTAACATTGTGTGCAAAAATGGCATGTGGTGGAGAAACCTCTATCTATTAAGAAGCACAATTTTTGTTTTTCACAAAATCCTACCATTGCTTTTGAGCCTTTTAAAAAATCCTATCATTCTTGAAGTTACTTATGCTATTAAAAAACACATAACATATTACTCTATAGTATTTCCATATAAATGACTATTCAATGGTTATCAGATGGTTATGCCACAATCAAGTATAGTCACCCTTTAGTATAAGCCTCTAATTTATACAAAATAAATGCTGGGAAATATAGACTTGAGATTGCTATACAGTTTTATTAACTATTTCCCATTTTTCTGGTACTGTATTACATGTTACATGTATGCATATTAAGAGCATTGTTGAAAATGCTGCTATAACTATACCTTTATGAAACAGTACCTGTTAAGGAAGCTGAGAGACAAAGTTTAAGGAAGAATATATTTAGAGTGTTCATTATATATGTGTCTTATTTATCGCCATGGTATTTTATGTGCTTCCTGTGGATCTAGTGTCATTTTCTTACTCTAATTCATCCTTATGATCACTATCTCCTTTATACTACTTTTTTGATATATACCATTTGTCTCTAGGTTACAATACCAACAATATATGTTTTACTTACTACTTTATACAATTTCCTTTTAAAACAATTAAAAAAGTCACAAATGCATTACATGGCCTCTGTAATTCTAAAATTATTTTGAGTGATTATTTTGAATTTTACTTATTTTCTATTTCTTTTGTGTGGGTTCAAACTAATGTGTGAGAAGACATTCTAATATTAGTATTCCTTGTCTAACAGGTCTGCAACCAGTGAATTCTCTCATTTTTATTTATTTGATAATGTCTTTATCTCACCTTCATTTTTGGAAAATAGTTTCCCTGACAAAGGATTCCTAGTTGTCAGGTTTCTTATGCACTTGGGCAATTTATACCCCAGGCTTTCTGGCCTCCATAGTCTCTGATGCTCAGTCAGTCACCTGCTCACTTGATTTACTTCTCTTTCTCATAACCTGATGTTTATTTCTTCATCTTTCAACATTTTTAACATAGTGAGTCTGGCTGTGGATTAATTTGTGTTCATTCTACTTAGATTCCATTGAGCTTGGATGTGTATGTGGACTAATAACTTTCATTGAATACCACTCAAAATTTTAAGCTTTCTCTCTCTTCTCTCTTTCTGGTAGTCCCAGTACCTGAAGGGTGCTGTTTCTTTCTTCAGGCCTGTCAAGTCTTCCTTTGAACCCCTCCAGTGATTTTTTTATATTTTACTCAGTTTCCATCTTGACTCCAGAATTTTCATTTGGTTTTCCACATTGATTTTTATCTCTTGTTTCATGCCATCTACTTGATGTAATATATTCATCATATCTTCATTTTTCTTTGCAAATTTTGCATTTTTTACACAATGAAGATTTATCGAAACCCCACATCAAGCAAGTAATTGGGGCCATCTCTCCAACAACATTTGCTCATATGTGTTACTGAGGCTTTGTTAGTGATTCTGACAATATTTCAAACATTTTCAATAATAATACAGTTATGGTGGTAAGCAAACAGGGATAATTTATGTTACTATTATATTTGTTTTGGAGTGCCTCTTACCATGCCCATATAACCTGACAAACTTAACTAATAAATGTTGTCCTTTATCTGACTGCTCCACTGACTTATCATTATAATCTCTTTCCCTTACTGTTGGTCTCACTAGTCCCTGAGACACACCACAATTAAAATTAGGCTCATTAATACTCCCACATTGGCCTCTAAGTCTTCAAGGAAAAGGAAGATTCTCTCACTTCTCCCTTAAATAAAAGGCTAGATAAGATTAAGTTTAGTAAGTAAGGTATGGCAAAAGCCAAGATAGGCCCAAAGTTAGGCCTCTTGTGGCAGTAAGCCAGGTTGGGTGAACCCGAAATTTTCTTTTCTTTTTTTTCCTTTTTTAAAATATATTTTATTGATTTTTTACAGAGAGGAAGAGAGAGGGATAGAGAGTTAGAAACATTGATGAGAGAGAAACATTGATCAGCTGCCTCTTGCACACCCCCTACCGGGGATGTGCCCACAACCAAGGTACATGCCCTTGACCGGAATCGAACCTGGGACCTTTCAGTCTGTAGGCCAACACTCTATCCACTGAGCCAAACCGGTTAGGGCACGAAATTTTCTTGAGGGAAAGTAAAGGTCATACTCCAGGAATCCCAAGAAAGTTAAGCTAGGAACATTGACTTATTGTTGACATAAAGAAAATTATAGTGGTTTGAAGAAAAGATCAAGTCAGGCACAACATTCCTTAAAGCAGCGGTTCTCAACCTGTGGGTCACGACCCCTTTGGGGGTCGAACGACCCTTTCACAGGGGTCGCCTAAGACCATCCTGCATATCAGATATTTACATTACAATTCATAATAGTAGCAACATTACAGTTATGAAGTAGCAATGAAAATAATTTTATGGTTTGGTCATAACATGAGGAACTGTATTTAAAGGGCCAGAAGGTTGAGAACCACTGCTTAAAGCCTAAGCCTAATCCAGAGCTATACCCTAACTCTCTTCAATACTACGAAAGTGGCAGAAAAAACTTGGAAGCTCATAGAGATTGTTTCAGTATTTTGAAAAAGGAAACCATCTCCACAAATGTAAATGTGCTGGTCAAGCTGCAGCTGCTCCTGGAGAAACCAGAGCAAAGTGCCTAGAAATTCTAGCTAAGATAGTGAAGTGGTGACACCACACAACAGGTTTTCAAAGGTGATACAGTAGTCTTATATTTGAAGACAATGGCAATAGGAAGCTGCATAGCTATAAGGAAAAGTCAGTGACTGCCTCTAAAGTTTCAAACAATAAGCACACCACATTTTTAGGACTTAATGCATCTGATGAGTTTATTTTGAAGTTAATGCTCATTTGACATTCTAAAAAAATTTTGACTCTTCAGATCTATATTCAAACTCCTGTGCCTCTGCACTATAATTAGGACAAAAATGCTCAGATAATAGCACGTCTGCTTACAACATAGCTTACTGAATATGTGGCCCATTAATTAAGACCTACCATTCGGGAAAAAATAATCTTTTCAAAATATTACTGCAAATTTCCAAGGCACCTGGTTACCCAAGTGCTCTGATGGAGATGACCAATGAGATTAATGGTGTTTCACACCAGCCAACCCTACATCCATTCTGAAGCACATGGGTGAAGAGAAGTAATGTTGAGTAATTTCAAGTCTATTATATGAGAAGTGCATTTCAAAATGCCATAGCTACCATACATAGCAATTGCTCCGATGGTTCTGGGTAAAGTAAGTTGTATACATCCAGGAAATGATCCATTGTGATCTATGCCATTAAAAAAACCTGTGATTCATGGGAAAGATCAAAATATCAATAGTAACAGGCGTTTGAAAGAAGTTGATGCAGACCCTCCTGAATGACTTTGAAAAGTTCAAATTTTCCATCAAAGAAATAACTGTTGAGGTGGTGGAAATAGCAAGAGAACTAGAATAATAAGTGGAGCCTGAAGAACCCTAGCCTTGATTTCTGCTGTGATCTCATGATAAAACTTTAATGGATAAGGATCATCTTCTATGGCTGATCAAAGAAAATGGTTACTTGAGATGGCATTTACTCTTAAAAAGATGCTGGGAAGATTGTCAAATTGACAACAAAGGAATTAGAACATTACCTAAACTTAGCAGAAAAAAAGTGGCAGGCTTTGAGAGTACTACTCCACTTTTAGAAAAAGTTCTACTGTGAGGATAATGTTATCAATCTGCATTGCGTACTATGGAGAACTTATCAAAGAGCAGAAGAGTCAGCTGATGTGGCAAACTCTATTGTCTTATTTTAAGATGTTTCCACATTTACCCCAACCTTCGGTATCCATATGTCTGATCCATTAACAGCAATCAACATTGGAATAAGACCCTCCATAAGCAAAGAGATTACAATTCCCTGAAGACTCAGATGATTATTAGCAGTTTGAGGCCATAAAGTATTTTTAAGTAAAGATATGTATTATTTTCTTTTGTAGATAAAATACCATTGCACACAGGGTAGACTACAATATAGTGTAATTATTGCTATTGTACACTTTTGAAAACCAAAAATTTGTGACTTGTTATTGTGCTAGTACTGTATTGCAATGCTCTGGAACCAAACACAAAATATGTCCAAAGTATGTCTGTACTTCACAAAGTAAGTTAACTAATTAAAGAAGGCTTTTCATCAAAACTTTTCTCCATATAATAGTAACCTCAAGGTACTATTGTTCTTTAAGTTCCACACTTAATTTAACTCCAAAGATGAAAAATAAATGTGAAATATTTTATTTTCAATATTATTCTTACCAGAGAGTTCTCCTGATTGTGTCTTAAATTGTCCCTTTATTATGCCACGTGCAGTTGCATCTGTTGAGCGTTCTGCATTAGCCCCTACAGAAACAAACAGACTTCAAAATTCTATCACCATTTATGTACACATCATTTACATAGAAACATATATGTTTCCAAGAGTGAGTGTGTATGCTGGTTGTAACCAGCATGTTTTATTGTACAGAAAAGCATTATATTAAGATATATCGATTGTAGATTCACAAGAACTGCAATTTAAACAAGTAGAGCAAGAATATAAGGCCATATTATGTGATATTCAGAGACTGTTGGTGACTTGACCAAAACCAAATATCCAGATAATGACAAAATTGATATACATTTCAGGAGCTATGCCATATAATTCCTTAAACAGTGTTCATTCCATACAAATTCTCTTTTATGCAAATTGAAATCATCCCAGAGAAGTTATGATAATAATATTACTTCCAGGCTTATACTAAATGTGCACTCTTTCTTTAGGGATGTACCTCATGAAGTAGAAAACTTCACTGTTTACTTGTACCTGTTTTTTTCTTTCTTTTTTCCCCCCAATAGGATAATTTGCAAACCATAGACTGTGTAGTCACAGAAACTTACCATGAGCAGAAATGCTTTGACTCACCAGGGAAAATTTTAATTCCTCTTTAGGTTCTGTAACTTTAAACCATGTAGATACCAGTAATTGAGAGAATAAAAAGACATTGATTGATTGAAATAGATGACCCCTGAAGAGCCTTTGGAATGGAGAGCTTGTGACATGCAAGGAGGAAATGGTTAAGTGTGTAATAGTATCAAGGCACTGGTTGGATTCATTTCCACTGGAGTTTTCAGATTATTCAGTTTTTCCTACAATTAACAATTATTAAGTTTGTCCAGTGACATAAAAATGCATGAAAGGTATTAAATAGAAATTAATATTGTGGGAGGGATAAATTGGATTGGTGAACTAGAATGGACTTTGAATCCAACAGTGTATGGGATTTTGGAAGTCAGTTCTAGTGGATCCTGAAAGTGTAGTTGGAAACATCTCATGGTCCTGACACTGCACAGCAGACCTCTTGCTTTGTTGAAATGCCTGAGCCATGAAAAAATATAAAAGTTTACACTCTGACTCTGCCAGACAACAGGCACCATAGCACCTTGTTTATAGAGAATATACTAGCTAGGGTACCATTAACAAAATAAACACAAATTCCTCATGTGAGGCAGAATAAATGTTCCTTAATTGATTAGAAATTTTTTTAAAAAAGATTTATGAGCTAGAGCAACACAAAACTGGGCAACATTAGCTGATATATTTTACTGTAATACCATGATAATGCTTACCCATGTGAAAAACAAGATGGCTGCAGAGTGATAATGGGCAGGAAGAATACTCAGCATTTGTAAGCTGGAAAAGGGATTTTTTATGTTCTGGGTGGCACAGAGGGGAATGACATGAGATTCACCATGTTCCACAGAATAGTGCATTTTTAGAACTTGTAAATTATTTATTCCTTTATTTTTCCATTTGATATATTCAATTCAGGATTGACCATGGATAAAGAAACTGCACAAATTAAAATTGCAGACAATGGGGAACAACAGTACTGAATAAACCTATGATGTAAAATTATCTGTTATACTTATTTTTATATAAATGTTTGCCTTCTAAAGAAGCTAAGAGAAGAAAGAAGTAAAAGTAAATATTTACAATGTCTTTATATTAGTCTCCTTATTTATGATTCTGGGTTCTTTTCATTTGCTCCTGCACATTTGAGTTTACATCTGCTATAGCATGTTACTGAAATACTTTGTGACTCCCACACTTCTTCTTTGTGCCGCTACAGTGAAATGTGTTACTTTTACATATTCTATAGGCACAAAAATACAATGATATACACTTTGATTATGCAATTGCCTTTTGGATAAATTACAGAGAAAAAGCATGCATTCATGCAGTCTTTTGGAGTTACATAATTCCTTGAACCCATGTTCCTTTAAAGGAGGGAATCAGATACTTCTTCAGGAACCATGTGCCAGCAGAGTGAACTCCCACACCAGGCCTCCTCACCAGCCCACTGGGACCCAGCATCCTAGGATACAAATAAATAAGAACATAAAAGGATTTAATCCCTTCCACTATGTGGAAGGCCCCCTGGGAAGGCACTTTAGCATTCTATATTGACCTCTCTTGACCTTTTTTCCAAGGGGGTCCCTCTTTCAATTACCCATAGCTGTTACCTAAGCTCTCTATTCATACTTAGGTTGAAGCCTCATGATGGCTGGTACCATAGATCTGTCTCTCACCCAATGGCGTAAGCTGGGTCCTCACTAGAGAAGAAACCTGGGTTCCCCATGATCAATGCCAGCGCCCCACCAGCTGGTGAGGGGATCCCAAGGCAGTTGCTGGGCATGGAGGCCACAGGGGCATACTCTACCAAGAAGACAGAACTAAACCTCACATCACCCTGCTTGGCCCCGGAGGATGACTGGTTAGTCAATGACAGATAAGATTCCTAAGGGAGGAACGACCTAAGACAGGCACAGTCACAGGGGGCCTCAGGGGAGAACTTGGGGGCCAACAGAGGTGGGGCAGAGATCCTCACCCCCCCAACTATACAGGGGCTTGAACACTAGCCCCTTATGAGGGAGGTCTCCTGCCCCCATGGCTGCTTCTCGATTCCCATGCCCAGCCCAGATTGGGACCCAGATAACAGAGAGAGACTTAGCCCAATCGAGATCGATACCCGGAGAACGGAGACTTCGCTAACAGCAGCTACCCTATATCTAAATCCAGCTTAACACCAGGAATGCTCAGGGCCTTCTCAAGGATACAAAATAATCCTTTCCATTAATATTTACAGTATAAACTAATTTTGCTATTAAAGTATTAAATTTGACAGTAAAATAATAGTCAAGTTTTCAGATTAATTAAAACTAGCTCAAGAAGTATTAACCAAAATTTTCATTTCATGGATAAATTGCTTAACATACAATAAACATAAAACAGTCATATTTTTATACAAAAAATTAAAATGAAAAGTTATCTAGACTACATTATAAAATTTGCAAAAACCTCCTAATATTAAAAAACAAAAAAAAAAGGGGGGGATAGTGGAATAATAACCTGTTAAGTAAATGCCTTAATTGCTTTAATATTTTTACTTGAAAATTCATTTTTTCATTTATAATGTTAATAGCAAGACACCCATGAAAAACATACGTGGTGTCAAAATAAGCCAAAGGAAAATCGCTTGGACAAAAATTAAAGGAATCCCAAGTCTAAATTATAGATATGATTCCTTTATTAACCTTTGGTCGAGAATACGTTTGTATATTTTCAGAAAACAACTCCAAGACCATATGGATTCCTACAACAGAAGAGAATTATCAGGACTGCTCCAGCCACAGAATAGCAGTGGCCCCGTGAGACAACAAGAAGAGAAGCAGTCCAGAAATAAAGATGGTGAAGACGCCTTATCATGCTAGCAGTCAGCAGCTGTGCGTCGCTGCAGGTTGCCCAGGACCAAACCAGAGAGGGTCAGACCTGCATTGTCACCATTTGTCCACCATCCAGAACTGAAATATTACTGCTGACATGTACACATAAGAAACTATCGGACACTGAAACATGAACTTCGCCTAAAAAACAAAGAAGGGGGATCTGTTGGGGGCCAGATGTAAGCTGGCAAGGTCCTTGCACCTGAAGGGGCTAGCAAGGCTGGGACCCTTACCCACAAAGTTTTCCCAGACTTGTTTGGATGGCAATTATCAGTAGAATGAGAGCAACCTTTGTAGAATAAGAACACCCTTTCATAGTTTACCAAGAAGCCTGTAACTATTTACTGAGATATGCTGTACTGAGAACTTGTCCTTCTGCTATATCTTTCCCTTAGAGATAAAGAGGAACAAAGAATACATTCCTCTTGACAGACCTCCTATTTAGTGTGTTATGTATAAATAGGATTGTGTGGCTAATAAAGTTGCTTCAGTTCCTTGAGAACTGGAGTCCTCTCGATCCTGCTTTCCTGTCTTTCTTTCTTTTCTCAATTCCGACCTCCCTGCCTCAGCCCGGCTCAACCTTGTCAGGCTGGCCCTGACAGGACTGGTATAAAAAATAAAATAAAAAGGGAAGAAGGAACACAGGCACAAAAAGTAAAAATGGTTACAAACAAGTACCTATCAATAATAACTTTAAAAATAAACAGACTAAATGATCCAATCAAAAGACATTGAGTGGCTGAATGGATAAAAAAATATGACCCATATATATGCTGTCTACAAGAGACCCACTTCAGAACAAGGGACTGACCAGACTGAATGTGAAGAGATGGAAAAATATCTTTCAGGCAAATGGAAATGAAAAAAAAAAAGTTGGGGTAGCAAAACTTATATCTGACAAAATAGACCTCAAAGTGAAGGCCATAACAAGAGATAAGGAAGGCCACTTCATAATACTAAAGGGATCTATGGAACAAGAGGATATAACCCTGATAAACATATATGAACCCAATGCAGGAGCACCCAAATATATATAAAAAACTTCCTGGAAGATATCAAGGGAGAGATCGACAACAATAAAATCATAGTAGGGGACTTCAATACACCACTGACATCATTGGATAAATCCTCTAGACAAAAAATCAGCAAAGAAACAGCAATCCTAAATTACTCACTAGATCAGATTGACTTAATTGACATCTTCAGAACATTTCACCCCATAGCCATGGAATATATGTTCTTCTCAAGTGCACATGGGACATTTTCAAAGACAGACCACATACTGGGTCACAAGCAAAGTCTTTCCAAATTCAAGAAGATTGAAATCATATCAAGCATCTTCTCAAATCACAATGGCATAATATTAGAAATAAACTACCAAAAAAACCCCAATCAATATTAGAAATACAGCAAAAAGAAAAGCCCAGAGTGAGCAGAAGGAAGGACATAATAAAGATCAGAGCAAAAATAAATGACATAGAGACCAAAACAAACAAACAAACAAAAAAAACAGTACAAAAGATCAATGAAACCTAGAGCTGGTTCTTTGAAAGGAGAAACAAGATTGATGAACCTCTAGCCAGGCTCACCAAGAAGCAAAGAGTGAGGACCCAAATAAACAGAAATGAAAGAAGCAAAATAACGACAAACCCCACAGAAATACAAAGGATTGCTAAAAAATACTATGAACAATTCTATTCCAACAAACTAGATAACCTGGAGGAAATGGAAATATTCCTAGAAAAATACAACCTTCCAAAACTCAATCAGGAAAAATCTAAAAATCTCAATAGGCTGATAACTATGGAAGAAATTGAAGCAGTCATAAAAAAGATTCCAGCAAACTAACGCCTGGGGCCAGACGGCTTCACAGGGGAGTTTTACCAAACATTCAAGGAAGAAATAAAACCTATCCTCCTCAGACTATTCCAAAAAATTCAAGAGGAAGGAACACTTCCAAGTTCTTTCTATGAAGTCAGCATCACCCTAAAACCAAAACCAGATAAAGACAACACAGTGAAAGAGAATTACAGGCCAATATAACTCATGAACATGGATGCCAAAATCCTCAACAAAATTCTAGCAAATCAGATTCAGCATTACATCAGAAAAATCATACACCATTACCAAGTAGGATTTATACTGGGAATTCAAGGACGGTTCAATATCTGCAAATCAATAAATGTGACACATCACATAAAAAATGAAGATAAATGCCGAAACCGGTTTGGCTCAGTGGATAGAGCGTTGGCCTGCGGACTGAAAGGTTCCGGGTTCGATTCCGGTCAAGGGCATGTACCTGGGTTGTGGGCACTTCCCCAGTGGGGGATGTGCAGGAGGCAGCTGATGGATGTTTCTCTCTCATCGATGTTTCTAACTCTCTATCTCTCTCTCTTCCTCTCTGTAAAAAATCAGTAAAATATATTTAAAAAAAAAGAGAGATAAAAACCATATAGTCATAAAAATTAATGCAGAAAAAGCATTTGAGAAAATCTAACACCCTTTCTTGATAAAAACCCTCACAAAGTGGGAATAGAGGGATCG